CATTCTGTAATGAAATTTCACAAAGTGTGTTCAAAGTATTTCCGACCAGAATGAGGATTTCCACAGGCTTTTTGTTTTCTTCTATTTGATGTTTAGTAGTCCAAGTTCACATATCTCTTGGCAGTGACGCTGTCCAGAGGACAATACGGTAACTGTAGGCGAACAACCATACACCGTACTCCCAAATGAGCCATGAATACACTCCTTATCCCTGAGACAGAGTAGGCGTGGCATTCAAACATGGCGCAGAATGGGTTACTCGTGGGATATTTCACTTCGAAACAAATGTCATCTTGTGAAGTAAAGGACAAAGACATGGCTACAACTTTTACAGAATGAGAATGACTCTTCAGAAGCTTAGCTAGCGCCACCTTTAATCGAAGTACGCAGCCACGCCTACCACATCTCAGGGATTCCGAGTATAAATCTGGATGCACACCAAACACACCATCTCACGACAACAGCGTCGAAATTGCCTGGGGAACGTACGTGTTGCGATGCGAAGGATATCCAAAGGATTAGAACGATTGCATGGAGTAGTGTTCGTAAGATCTATAGGCCCGTTGGATGCTCCAATGCATCATTTTTCTATTTATAAATGTGCTTGTATAATTGGGTTTCATCAAAAATAGTCCGCGTTTGGGTCAGAATTTCTCATGACATTGCAGTGGAGTTTTTGCACATTACTAAGGCATCTTATTGAAGCATTTTCCAGATGAAAATGTCACGAGACTTCCCCCGAAACTTGATTAAATTGGTAGAACAACATAGTTTTGCATGTGTTCTCCTTCACAGGTCCCGCATTCATTCCGTGATAAATGCCCTGCTTCTTTCATGTTCGAGTAGTGGTTTCAATTATCCACATTCTTGTATATGGTTCTGATGACAGTATAGCCTCCTTGTTGTGTGGTTACCACTGCCTGCTTGCTTCCGTTGGTGCTTCTGCTGGTTTCGTGCGATACTAGGAATGATGACATAGTTTTTTCTTGAACAAATTACAGTACGAGATCCATGGTCAGCTCTATTCACAGCTTCAAGAATAAGCCCACAGTTGAAACTTGTGTTCGAGCGTTTCGAGTGTTCTGGGCCAAAAGGAAAGCCAGCTGTCTACTTAGCGTTTTGAATCTCAGCGAATACTAGCCTTTGAGCGCAAACTATAAGGTGTCGATCGGAGCTAAAAACGTTAGATCAATATCTATATGCTTCTCGCCCAAAACGTTCAAAAATGCTCGAGGCAATAGCAACCACAACACATACGTGCGCTATCCAGGCAATTTCGACGCTGTTGTCGTGAGATGCTGTGTTTGGTGTGCACCCAGATTTGCTTTACGGCTCCCTTGGGGGTACGGTGTATAGTTGTTCGCCTACCGAAGTTACCGTACTTATTGAGAGGAGAGGCGCGACACAGCACTACGGCACAAGCGTTTTCTGCAGCTTAGTTTAGACACTATGTCGAGACCTTCGCTGCGGTATACAGTTGCTTAAGTGTCGCCGCCTTTAAGATGCGTTCATACATTGCGCAGCTCAGGCAGCATTTCGAACGTACGTGACCTGCGACTGGTCACGTATGGATTTCGATCGTATGACAGCGTACAGCAGCGTTTTCGCGGGCATTTTTGCTCGAGCGCAATTGCCTACGAAAACGCTGAGGCTCGCTGGGTCGATATCTGTGCCTTCGGAGTCGCTGGCATACGTTGACGCAAAGTGTGAACACAGCACACTAGCACACGAGGTGCAAACAACGGTCCTTAGGCAGCGTTCATACTTCGCGACAGCAGCGGCGATCGCGGTACGAAGCAGAGCGCGCCCCAACGCTATTACTTGGACCGCTCTCTGATAAATAAGGAAATCCAACTTGTGAGACCTTTTTTCTCTTAATAATGGCTACTAACTAGAAACTTTCTCTACTTAAGAGGATCTGGAATATGAGGAAGGGGGTTTCACCTTTTTTGAGGTCGGAATAGGGCAACTTCATTTAATGGGTGAGTTTCTTTTTGTTTCTTTTGTTTTCATTGTTTCATTTTATATGAGTGTCTTGAAATTTCCTATTGGTTAAACTGTTCCAACTTCCGAAAACATTTATAGTTTACAAGTCGAGTTCAAACAAAAAAAAATAGAATGAAACCCACCTAGGAATCGAAACACTAATCTTTTATGCAACATCAAGGAGGAGGAAACTTCATAAATTCATGTATAAGCTCGAAGAATGAAAAAAAAACTTTAAGAAACTTACCGTAAATGAAGCTCCTACGCTTTTTGCTCATTTCTATCGAATGATAAAAGAATAGAAAGGAGAAGCCATCAAGTTAGGTCCATCTTTCCTCGAGTCAAAACAAACTTTTACACCAGATACAATCGCAATTAAAAGAAAAAAAACACGAAATTAAGCCGATTTCTCCTAGCAGCACTCGGAGCGGTCCAAGTAATAGCGTTTGGGCGCGCTCTGACGCGTACCGACGATCGCGGCGATGGCTGCGATCGCGAAGTATGAACGCTGCCTTACAGCTATGCAGCGAAAGTGTTGGCGCCGAGGCGAGCCAAGCTAGGGCTAGGCGACCCCTATATTGGTTATTGGCGATTTGCTAAACCTGAGTCTCGGTCACGAGAAGGTATTGTGAGCGTGCTACTGCATGCCCTCCCCTTCACCTCGAACAACACTGACGCCCTCACGTCATTTCTTCGAGGTTACAAGCAGAGGGGTTGGTATGTGATGGTCCCATTGCATTGTAAAAGTGCCGACATGCTTATAAACATTCACTGTCTCCGTTGACCACAATATTAGCTGCTTCGAGTGTTGCGATCCTTGTAGGGGTGTCGGACGGCGTTGTGAATGGCATTACGTTTGCGCTGTTCGTGCCAAGACCGTTTGGAATACAGTATGTCTAGCGGATAACTTTTGCTGTTTCTAGTGGTAGTGGTTACATCATGGATATCCCACACTACATCCAGCAATTTTACTCCGGCCGCACCAGGAAAGTTTTGTATGGGCAACGTAGACTCGCGAGAATGTCTTCGCTTCTGTGTCCTCCTATTACGATAGTGATCCTTTCCCATTTATGAGGATAAACTTGGGGAACGCTTGACGACCGGCTGGCTCTATCTCGCTGCTTGTTCTCCTCCCACCAGCCCGCATACATAATCGGCGTCGTGATGGCGACGTTGTTCAAGTCGCTTAAGCGAACTTGTGATCCTCGATTCCACAGCGGGTTTGGGAATCTGAGAGGAGGAACATGAGGAGTTCTAAAGAGCATTCTTCCACATTTCTGTGATGCTCCTTGCCGCTTCGCAGAAGTGCTTCATTTCATCACGAACGACCTGGGTTATGACTAGGATATGACTCTAATCAAGGAGTATTGTTCAAAATATAATCGGCTATGTCCGTGCAAGTGTGGTGTGTGCGTGTTGTGTGTTGTCTGTTTAAGTGTGTGTTTCTGTCTGTCTGTCTGTCTGTCTGTCTGTCACGAAATTCATAGCACCTGAAGAACTTGGAGAGGTCGGGTCAGGGTGGGGATGGATAGAGCATGGGACAAAACCTAAATAGCACCCATGACCCATGGTAAGCCCCGCCCACAGTGGGCGGGGCGTGCGTCAAAAGTTAGCGATGTCACTGAAAAAAGTCATAACTCGGTTCCAGAGCAGTCCCGAGATGAGGAAACAGTGCAGTAAAGTTAACAAAGGCCTGGCCGATCAAAACAGAGCAGACACACCCGAAATGGGCATGGTGTACTTGAGATGGGCGGCGCTTCCCGTGACACTGAAAATCACCATAACTTGGCTACGAAGCAGCTCGGAGACTGGAAAAAGTGGAATTAGGTTAGCACTGGGTTGGCACACCAAATGGAGGAGAGGCACACCCGAAATGGGCGGGGCGTACTTCAGATGGGCGGTGCTTCACGTGACACTGAAAAATCACCATAACTTGGCTACGAAGCAGCTCGGAGACTGGAAAAAGTGGAATTAGGTTAGCACTGGGTTGGCACACCAAATGGAGGAGAGACACCCGAAATGGGCGGGGCGTACTTGAGATGGGCGGCGCTTCCCACAAAGGTCGGTAACTCGGTCCCCGAAAATGTTTAGGGAGCGCAGGAAAGTCCATGACGAAGAAGAATTGCAAGAGTCCACCATGTTTGCGGTGCGCTGAGGCCCGCCCGGGCGGGGCCTGCATTTGAGCACGAGGAACATAAAAAGTCGTAGTTTGGTCCTAAATCACTGCAGATGGTGCCAAAAAGTGGATTATGGTCCCCAAGTGATCAAATGTAAGAATGTGCGAGGCATACGTTGTGGGCGGAGCGTGCCCCGAGGTGGGTGGAGCCAACTTAAAAAATTCGCAAAACGCTTCCAGAGCACTCCAGACACCGGGAAAAAGTAGTTTAAGATCAGCGAGGGGTTATTAGTTGAGAAGCGCGAGGCATACGTTGTGGGCGGAGCGTGCCCCGAGGGGGTGGAGCCGAATTTAAAAAAATAAAAAAATTCGTAAAACGCTTCCAGAGCACTCCAGACACCGGGAAAAAGTAGTTTAAGATCAGCGAGGGGTTATTAGTTGAGAAGCGCGAGGCATACGTTGTGGGCGGCGTGCGTCAAGGTGAGCGGGGCCAGCCTTAAAAATTCCTCAAGCGGTTCCAGAGCACTCCAGGCACTCCAGACCTCTATGTGATACGGCCCGGCTTTGCGGGGCGTCGCGCCTACCTGCATTCGTATGAACAAATGCTCGACTAAACACTCGACTCGACTCGCTTTTCTCTCATCTGTTCACTCGATCAACGCTCCTTAAAGTTCAAACAGCTCAATTCGCTAATCGAAAAGCTCCCATCCAGAATTGTGGTGATTTCGGGTGTGGATTTGGCCTTGCGAAGACCGAGTGGGATCACTCTATGTACAGCTCGCTGTTCGCACACTTTTACGCTAGTTTTATACGTGGTGGTCGATCCGGAAATGGATAGGAACTTCGATTGGCATGGGCGAGATACGATACTAGACTAGGCCACGTACCTCCTGTGCGAATGCAATGCTCATTTCCGCTGTGCCACGCTCTGATTTGGAATGTGCTTTTGTTCGGGTGTAGCTCTGCAGGTTTGATTATTCTTTCAGTTAGTATGTCCTGTGAAGGAACGTCTGCAGGTAACGGAGAATTGGTTGTCGGGAACGATGCTGGAGAACACGGTAAGCTACACTGTTTTTGCATATCCCTATATAATTTCATACCATATTCATATTTCAATCCATATTTTCATCACCATAATCAGTTCAAACGGCATAACTACTATTAAATTGTAGATGTTAAGGTGAGGATTCAACTGCTGAACATTCCAAAAACGCAAACGATTCGCAAATTAATGAAAAGGGTCTGTCGAAAAATGCCTTGAAGAAGCTGAAAAATCGAGAAAGGTCGGTGAATTCTGTGCTTAGGATTCTTTCAGCCATTCTCGCAGCTCGCTCTTTCTTTGTGCTCTCTACCTCTCTCTCTCCCTCTCTCATCCTTAACATCGCTTTTTCTTGTCTTGCATTTGTGAACTTGTGGATTAGCTGATTTATAGACAAATCTCGCGGTTGCCTAAGTGACTCTTCAAGGGAGGAAAAAAAGCAGAAACGAATCTAAAGAGCCCTCTGCGTAAAGACCTGGCAGCCTCTCTGGACGACTTCCGGATCTGCTCGTTTTATTCCCACAGAGCATTATCCTCCCGCCTCTAGCACACTTATAGTTTCTTCGCGTCACCCGTGCTAATATCATCCAACTTTGAAAAAAAAAACGTAAACGCGGTAACTGAACTTGTGACGAAAAGATTTGGATTTTCACTGAGCGGTAGTACTAGGGAGGCCTCAGAACTTACCCTTATAGTGGCCGCAAGGCTTTTCTCTTCCTCACCTTTCCCTTCTTTTGAGTGGCCGATAAGGTACTGGGGAGCGGAGCGGAAGGGACATCAGACGTGAATAGCACGCGAGAACTCGATCCCTTGGGCTGTGCTAGTGTTGAGTCTGGGTAAGGAGAGATATCACAGTCTTCAAGAATGCACGCACAAGAACAAACTACTCGCATGGCTTCTTCTCCCAAATCCAGCGATACAGACCTAGGTATTCGTTTGGCTTTTGAATCCATGCAAGAGGCCTCGTGAAAAGTAAACGTTTGTTCGCTCCTCATATCACCGAGCAAGAATTCGGGGTGCTACTGTAGCTGTGAGGGCTACAAGACGGCAAGACCATGTCGTTCCTCTATCCAGGCTTAGGCTCAAACGAGCTTGGAAACTACGTGCGCCTCAGCTATAGTGATACCGAATTAAAATGTTTGCTATGAATTATACTTATTTTATTATTATTGCCTGACTTTACAAAGCGCTGTATAGATGGCTGGAACACCGCAAACGTAAACGTTTGGAAGAAAAACAACGGAAGAAGGAGAAGCGAATCGCTCTGAAGGAAGCGGGTCTTGGGGAAGCGCTCAAGCGGTTTCGAGGCAAGACAATGGAGCAGTCATCATGCAGGGTTAGTGAGCCGGATTTGTATCTTCCATCATGTGTTTTAGACTACTTTATGGCTGTCACTTAAATAGTCGCTTTTTTACAGATTCGCGTAGCCATAGATATGTCGTTTGATGATCTTATGTCGGAAAAAGACTGTCGACGTGCCGTACAGCAGCTGAACTGGAGCTATTCTGCCAACAGACGCTTACCGGAACCCCTTCAGTTTTACATAACTTCTTTCGAAGGGCTCAGTAGAAAGGTTTGTTATTACCGCATCGTTTTGTTTGGTTTGGATTAGATCTCACAGAAAACACCTACATTGGTGACCAGTGGATGCAAACTTTTTCTGGTCATTAAATTTTCACAGAAGATTTCCTACCTTATTTTCTAGGGTATAAAACGCACTTATTCGCGTGATCATGGAAAGTTTTCGGACACCTAACAGCCTTTCTAAACGGCAGCGACTTCTCTTTTCTCTTTTTTTTCCAAGGTTCGCTTCATATTGATCAAAACAATAGCGAGCTCATCAGATATATTTCAACCAAACCCTGCGTTTATACTTTGAAACATGAGCGACTTTTCGATCGCCTGCGCTCCGCCGCTAACGGCTGAATCGTTGCTAAGGGGGTGAAAGAGATTCACCGCAAGGGTGCGATGATAGGTATGGGCGCGAAGTCGCGCCCGTGATGGGACCACCGCGCGTTATATCGCGCTTCCAAGCGCGACTTCGCACGATTGCCGTGCTACGCACCCTCGCTCTAACTAACGAAAGAAGTTCTGTCCTGAAAGTGATTGAGCAAATGCAGTGTAATGCCGCGTAGTCGATTCCCACGCACGACTGAATCATTTGAGTCGCGAAGTATGAACGGCTCGAAAACATGGAGAGATTCATTGTCAGTCAATTCTGTGACCAAGTATGGTATGTTCTTCTCTCACATTCATTTTATTTTCTTTTCCTGTCATCAAAAGACTTCCCAAACCATGATCCATTTTCGTGATTAGTTTTTCTGGGCATTATGGCATTTCTATGTTTTCAGATCTACAGCAGCATCGAGTCCAACCAGAACCAAGATATCTTTTTGAAGACTGAGTCGATAAGCGAATTGTTCAAGCCGAGTGAAATTGTGTATCTCACAGCAGATTCAGATAATGTAGGATTTTTGTTGAGAGACACATCGTACCATAGTCGGTTGGGCGGAGACAACAACAGAGACAACAACAAGACAACTACTGTACTTTTTTGTGGACGTCCACTAATAATTATCGTTTTAGAATGAAGACACATTGGCAGGGTGTCCCGCCCATCTGCTCATTGTGCAATGTGTCTCTGGTGTGACAGTCTCCTCATTTCCTATGAATAATTTCAGGTATTGACAGAACTGGAAGACACCAAAGTCTATGTGATCGGCGGTCTTGTTGACCACAACAGCCAAAAAGGCCTTTGTTACGAAGTGGCAACCAAAGCTGGATACAACCATGCACGGCTTCCGATTGACGAGTTTGTGCAAATGAAAACACGCAAGGTTAGCTCTCTAAAATATGTTTGGCGATGATCCATCTCCCTTAAAACTCAAGTTCGCATGCTATCCTACCGCAGATAATTTGCTACGTCTGTCTTTTTGTCTGTCCGGAAATTCGAGTCTACCCTGAGGGCTGATAAGGCCCGATAAGAGGCTATAGAAGAGGAGAGCCGCTAAATACACAGCGCTGGTCACAGAAACAGCGAGGTCTTGGTTCCAGCAAGCAACATAAAGGGTGAGATTGGGGCATCAACAGTGAATGAAAAAAGCGAGAACAAATAAAGCTTGTGGTCATGGTCGTTCTTCAAGGTGGTTGAGCTTTTAAATCACCAAATTATGAAGATTCAATGATAGGAACCCTGATGACGGGTGACACGTGATCACATCATTTGATAAGAATTGAGAGAATTATCTTCACTGCAATTCGTTATATTTTTTACCATTATGCTCTCGAGTATTTAAGGCTCGGTGTGTGAACTCTTTCCTTCAGCCATCATGATGTCAACAATGTGATAATCATCTACCGAACCGTGTGCTCTGAGAAGTATGTGAGGATGTCGAGCGATCGAGAGGGGAGGGTCCGAAAAAGCTCTGTGAACGACAGCTTGCGCATTCTAGCTCGCCTAGGGGGTAAGCGCCCAGGTCGTGATATGGAAGGAGGAGCACCCGGCGACAGCCGGGCGCTGCGACTGGCTTGTTCAGAACGTCGGACTTTTGTTGATACCTTCAGTTAGCTTGTGGATGTTTTAGGTGACTTCCTGTCGAAATGCCTCTTACTTTCATGATTTTTTTTCCTCTTATGAATTCCTCTTCCTGTTTTTCGTAAAAATTCACTAGTCTCCTCAAAAAAAAGCTTTGTTGCTACCACCAGCGTCTTCACAAGGAAGGTCTGTTGAGCGACCATTCTAGCGAGCAATGCCCTTCAGCGCTTCCATTTGTGACGCTAACGCCTCCTGTCAAACTCACCCAGTGCCTCCAGTCGTCTCGTCATATGATACAGTATCTTTGGCGAAACCCGTTATGGTGTCGTACATGCCCCTCACCCTTATTCGATAAGCGCAAAACTGCTACACCTGGTCATCGGAGGTATCGACGAGTGGGGATGTAGCCCCTTCTCTGCTCGAGATAATTTTTTGGGAAAAGTCGGTATGGTGGTAAGTGGATGGTGAAAGGGGGCCCTTAGCGAGAAGGGGAATTTGTAGAAGGGTCGCTTTATTTCACCGCCATCTCTCTCCGAATCTATATCCTGCTCGTCATACAAACAACCCAATTTCATGTTTACTCATGGTTAGAAAAACCCATCAGGACAGCAGGTCTTCTTAATAGTAGTCTCGTTTTGTATTGTATATGAAAAAAGATTTTCAGGTGCTCACGATCAACCATGTATTCGAAATACTGGCACACTTTTCCGATCATGGCGACTGGGAGAAAGCGTTTTTCACAGTGATACCACCTCGGAAAGGAATGGTTAAGAAAATGACTGCTGGAAGCGATGTGAGCTTAGATGGAAAATCCTCTCAACTAGCCAGTGAGGTTGGTAGTGAAGAAGAGGATTCCGACTCTCCGTCATCGAAGAAAATCCACATGGACGACCAACAGGACTTACTGACCGTGCTTTCCTGATTGACTGAAACAGCCACCATCACTGCATGTCCTCTTTCTTCAGACTGATTTGTCTTCAAAACCTCATCTAGTGAAACTTTTTTGAACCTTGTTTTTTTTGTTCGGGATTTTTATGTTTCTTTTTATTTCTCTTGTTCCACGTTCCGTTACATTCTCCAGATTTTTCTGGGAGTATAGCTCAACTTCATCTGTGTTGTTATTGTTGTTGTTACAGTTTATTTTTTTCTTTTCGCTTCCGCTGAGTCTCTCGAGGGAAGTGGGTGTGTAGAATTGTCTCGTTGTATGTAGAGCTCCTACAGTTGAGCGCTCACCGGACGGTGGGGCGTTCCCTACGACCACGCTGGCGAGCGTTCCGGTGATTGCGTGTCGATGGGAAGCCGAAAACTTTCAGGAGATTATCATCATTGCCTCTCCGTCTCTTACTCTGCACTCTGCGCTCTAACACACGCCGCCGCACCGTCTACCCACTCTTCCGCTCTGGACTCTTACCGATCGATAATTGCTCTCGATCAGCTGATTCCTGCCGCATTTTCGCAGTATTTTTGCTAGATTCAGCTTGTTAAAGCTGAAATTTTTCGACTTTTGACTCAATGTTCGAAGGTGAGTATCCTTACTGAAATTATTCCACATTTTGCATGAATTTAGCATGAAATTCCCCTAGGAAACTTGTTTTTCTTTCTGATTTTCGCAATTTCTCCAAACTTTTCCTTAATATCCCCATTTATTTTATGATATTGACCGAGTTTTCAAAGCAGTGTCTCAGATGATCTCGCTATTATCGAGAACCATCTCTGACACTTTTTTGAAGCTCGAAGTTGCCTTAATGGTTCGCTTTCCATGCTAAAATTCCCAATTTCAATTTTTTTTCTTTCCCAATTTAATGCTAAATTCATGTGATATAATTTCAGTAAGAATACTCACCTTCGAACATTGAAGTCAAAAGTCGAAAAATTTCAGCTTTAACAAGCTGAATCTAGCAAAAATACTGCGAAAATGCGGCAGGAATCAGCTGATCGAGAGCAATTATCGATCGGTAAGAGCCCAGAGCGGAAGAGTGGGTAGACGGTGCGGCGGCGTGTGTTAGAGCGCAGAGTGCAGAGTAAGAGACGCAGAGGCAAGGTTTTTGCGGCCATCCACCGACAGGCAACTATCGGGCCGCTCGCCAGCGTGGCCTTAGGACCGCCCCACCGTCCGCTGAGAACTGCACTGTGTATTCTGGAATACGGTGATAATGGGACTGGGCGACGTCGATGTTTCACCGTTGTTTTACATTTTTGATTTTGCTCTAAATGCAGTGTGACGCACTTATGAGTTGAAGGGCTGTTCTTTGCTGCAGTGCAAATCGCTCAGCTATTTAACGACAACAAATTTCAGCGCTGTTGTGTTCATGGTAGGGATAAAACTACAACAAATTTCAGCGCTGTTGTGTTTATGGTAGGGATAAAACTATCTTATCTAATCTAATTAATCTAATCTATCTATAAGTTAATCTCTCTATTAGTGTAAGAAACGAACGCTAGAAATTTAGCGATTATCAGTGCCAGCGAGGATGATAGTGAAAGCAGTCGAGGCGGGATTAACACTACAGGCAGAGTCGGCTTAACTGTCGACTACGCCCTCTCTATCAATCGATTTCGAGTCCCAGGAGTGGGATATCCTCTGTGGTTGCGGACTCCGCGATCTTGTACAGTACAGGGTTTCTTCACCTTGGTTGATCGCGGACGCTGTCTTTAAGAACAACTTGAAGGGATCTGGTCAAGAATGGGATGGTTAGGGCATGGGACGAGGGGCAAAGAGCACATTCGATGTATGCCGAGCATGCGCCGAAAGTTGGCGGAGCCGCAGACAAAAATTTGATTCGTATCCAGGGATAGGGGAAAAATGAAGCAAAGTTAGCAAGGGTTTGTAGACCAACTACGGGAGACACAACCGCACCTCACCGGTGGTAGTACTTGAGATGGTCGGTGCTTCAGACAAAGGTTGGTAATCAGTTTACGAGAGCTTAGAGAAGCAGGAAAGTGGATGCAGAAGGAAAACTTTTCGCGAGAGTTGGGCATTTCAGCGGTGTGCTGAGACATGCCCACAGTGGGCGGGGCATGCCCCTAATCATGAGGAACTCTTTTCAAAAAACTATGGCTCGCTTCGAGAGCACTTCAGATACCGGAAAAAGGAAGATTAAGGTCAGCGAGATGTCGCCGGCTGAGAAGCGTGGGGCACACACGCTGTGGGCGAGGCCCACGTTGAGGTGGGCGGAGAAAGACGAAGTCATCTCTAAAATGGATCCAGAGTGCTCGAGAGACTGAAGTGACTGCTTACCATTAGCCTCTTGTGGTCTCACTTAATCAGCTTGGCGCCGAAACTCATTACCGGTCACCTCCCTCACATGTTTGGTTCGTATCCTGTGAAAACTTGTTGCTCTGGCGTAGACGGTGTAATCATTTAAGTCGCATATTATAATGAAAAAAATAAGACGACAGTTCACGAACAAACATTACCAAGACTTGCCGCGCAAGAACTCAAACATTATTGGAATTACTTCTACCCTACTATGATTCTAATTCTCTTCTCTACTACGAAAATAGGCTAATCCATAAAAAGCAAACATCAACATGGTTGTATTGTTGTTCATTTGTCGATTGTCACTGAACTCAACGTAACTAACTGATGTACTCTACTACTCTAGCTTCACAGAACTCAGAATGACACTGTGCATGGGCAAGAACCACGTTTGAAACAACATATTAAAGGCCATACTTGAGTGGGTACTAATTGAAACCTGTTGTTAGGCTTGTTTATACTTCGCAGCTAGAGTGATTGAACAGCACGGTCCCGGGAGCGGGATGACTGCAGCGGACCAGGATCACCATAGAACCTCCTTTGACCATTGCAGCTGCAGCCTAATATGGAGAACATCTCCATCGAGCAGCCGGTTTATAACGACCGCCTCCTCACCTCGTCTCAGTGCAGCATTGAGGCTGCCGTCATACTTTGTCTACCAGCGAACAATAGCGTCTGCCAGCGTCCACCAGCAGCGTCTCGAGGACTAGAGAAGTATAAATATCGATCTAGCGTCTGCCAGTGAGCAACAACGTCGTGGAGTGGAGAGTATGTAGACATAGTAATATAGCAGATTGCTGGTAGAGAGTGACGCGATAGGACGATATCAGACAGCTGTTGAATTCCTGCCGCCCCATACTCTCGACTCCAGGACGCTGCTAATTGCCGGTAGACGCTGGCAGACGTCAGATCGACACGTGTACTTCCCTGAAAACACTGCTGGTCGCTGTTGGACGCTGGGAGACGCTGGTAGGCGCCGTTGAACGCCAGCAGACGCGAAATCGATATCTATATTTTCCTATTCGCTGACGCTGCTAAACGCGTCCATCGCTGATGGCACTACTGGTCGCTGATTGACGCTGCCGCAGAGTATCAACATAGCCTGACTGCTCTACTGGATCATTCCAGATGCTGAGACCTATTGAACATCATTTTGTTCCAAGCCAGTCGACTCGATGCTGTACGGCTTTCGGAGCGTTATTGTTACCATAAGCCTGATTATTGTAGTCTACACTACCGAAGTCACTGATAGCATCATTCCGAGTTCCCTGAGCGTTCTCAACAATGTGCCTTAAGCAATGACAATGAAATAGAACTACAAATCACGATATAATGGTTTCGCTATCTATCTCATCCATGTCCTCCCCATCTTCGTCTTCTGAGTCCGTCCATTTACAATGCGAGTAAATTCGAGAACGGTCGTCAGACTTGATGTATTTCTGAAAGCAACTTTTCTCTACACTACTGAAGCCGCGAGCAGTTGCATGGAGAGGGACCAGCAGTCACAAGTGTGCAGTGGGCCCGGAAGGAATGACAATGGGCGCAGTTCGGCGACCGGGGAGGGGTAGAGGACACTTTGCACTTTTGCCACTTCCCATCGACGTGTCCTGCCATCGAGAGAGCCTTTTGAGAATTGACAGGTTTCACCATGATGGCTGGACGAGCCTGCTCCAGCTTCACAAGGGTTTACAGGTTTCACCAGACTTGCAAAACTTGAGTGAACTTGCAGAACAGAACTAGTGAAGCGAAAGTGCAAAATACCCCCTCCCCGTCGCCGAACAGTGCCATGACAATGTGTAAAGAACTCGACAGTTGAGTAGGAACAGAAATATCGCCCAAAGTTTCCAGAAAACATTGCCGAACCGAGATTCGCGCGCATACGGTACAGTGTGTAGTGAGGCGCAAAGAGCTAGTAGCAGAAGACATGCATGAACGTTGGGCGTGTCTTGAGCAGTGGGCGGGGCATTCTGCTCCACGAACGTCTGGCGTCGTTATTGCACATTTTCAAGCCACGAGAATAGATATATTCACAAGGAAAGCGTCAGCACGTCAAGTGGTCGCGAGACATGCCTTCAAACTGTCATCGCTGTCATGATGAATAATTAGAAGTGAAAGGAGCAAGCCGGCTAGGTGGTAGTGTTTCAGGGAGTGTACTGGTTCGTCAATCCTGAAGCTCCAGGTCCTTAAAGGCAGTGGGCAGGCGGCTGCTGGAGGAAAGCGGTTGTTGTGCCTCATCGGTCTAGGCCTTGACCGCTCCCTCAGAAAGCAGTGGGCCGGACGCTCTCCTTCATCACTTCCACCAAAGACGCTGGCAACACCATCCGCTTTCAGCCGTTCCGCCGCCAACTGCCTTTGAATTCCCTTACTCTCTTAGCCGTCGTGCGCTCTGTTAGTATTTTCTAACCAGTAACGCATGTTAGGTGTGGCCGAAAATGTACCGAGCACTTATCATCAAACCTAAGCTCCGCTCACAATGGGCGGGGCGTGCATCGAAGTAGGCGGTGTCTAAGATGGAAAACTCGAATGTGCCCGGATGTTTTGCTTTAAAACGCCCCATCCCCACTGGCCCTTGAAAAGGGCCGGTACTTTTGCTTTTCGGCACCTCTGCCGGAAAGCAAAGGGATTTTTGCTATTTTTGCTCGAAGGGCATCATAATGCCCTTT